TGTCCTCACTGTCCCCGTCCCGCTGTCCCTGTCCTCACTGTCCCCGCTGTCCCCGTCGCGCTGTCACCACTGTCTCCCATCCTCAATGTCCCCTGTCCCGCTGTCCCCACTGTCCCCGTCCCCGCGGTCCTCACTGTCCCCCCATCCTCGCTGTCCCCGCTGTCCTCCCTGTCCCTGCTGTCCCCCATCCTCACTGTCCCCCCATCCTCGCTGTCCTCACTGTCCGTGTCCCGCTGTCCCTGTCCTCACTGTCCCCGTCCTCACTGTCCCCATCCCCACGGTCCTCACTGTCCGCGTCCCGCTGTCCCTGTCCTCACTGTCCCCCCATCCCCGCTGTCCTCACTGTCCCCGTCCCGCTGTCCTTGTCCTCACTGTCCCCGTCCCGCTGTCCCTGTCCTCACTGTCCGTGTCCCGCTGTCCTTGTCCTCACTGTCCCCCATCGTCACTGTCCCCGTCCCCGCTGTCCTCACTGTCCGTGTCCCGCTGTCCCCGCAGGCACGCGCGCCCCAAGGGCCGCTTCAAGGAGTCCTACCTGTCCCCGGCGCAGTCGGTGAAGCCGCGCGTGGACCCGCAGCAGCCGCTGCCGCGCGAGCGCCTCAACCCGCCCACGCCCAGCATCTACGTGAGTGCTGCGCCGCGGGGCGGGGCCGCGCGGGGCACGCCCCCGGGCGGAGCCTGGGGGTGGGATTGGCTCCTGTGAGATGGGGGGCGGGGCTGCGCGGGCACGCCCCTGGGCGGAGCCTGAAGGTGGGATTGGATCCTCGGTGAGGTGGGGCGGAGCCTGAGGGTGGGATTGGCTCCTGTGAGACAGGGCGGGGCCTGCATGGGACACGCCCCCGGGTGGAGCCTAGGGGCGGGATTGGCTCCTGTGAGATGGGGCGGGGCCAGCACGAGACACCACCCTGGGCGGCACCTAGGGGGCAGGATTGGCTACTCGGTGAGATGGGGCGGGGCTGCACGGGCACGCCCCTGGGCGGAGCCAAAGGTGCGATTGGATCCTGTGAGACAGGGCGGGGCTATGTGGGCACGCCCCTGGGCGGAGCCAAGGGCAGGATTGGCTCTTCAGTGAGATGGGGTGGGGCTGCGTGGGACACACCCCTGGATGGTGCCTAGAGGCGGGATTGGCTCCTGTGAGATGGGGCGGGGCCAGCACGGGACACGCCCCTGGGCGGCACCTAGAGGGCGGGATTGGCTCCTCTATGAGACAGGGCGGGGCTGGGTGGGACACGCCCCTGGGCAGTGCCTAGGGGCGGGATTGGCTCCTGTGAGATGGGGCGGGGCCTGTGTGCACAGGACACGCCCCTCCCCAGGGGGGGCTGCACTTACGGGGGATGCTGATTGGTTCCTCTGTGAGAAGGGGGAGGAGTCTCTGGGTACCAGGACACGCCCCCCCACACACACAGGTGGGGCTGCTCCTGCTGGCGCTCCTGGGGGCGGAGCTGATTGGGGCGTGGCGGGGCGGGGCGGGGCGTGGTGGGGCGGCGGCCGCTGAGGGCCGTGGCTGTCCCCGCAGCTGGAGAGCAAGCGCGACGCCTTCTCGCCGGTGCTGCTGCAGTTCTGCACCGACCCCAAGAACCCCATCACGGTGATCCGCGGGCTGGCCGGCTCGCTGCGCCTCAGTGAGTGCCCGGGGCCCCCCCGGGGCCCCCCGTGTCCCCCCGGGGCCCCCCCGGGG